CTGACCCGCAAAGGTAGCGGGGCGGTGTATGAAAACCACAATCCATTGGGAGCCGGTTTTTCAGTTCATCGGATCATACGCCCTTCGGACGGGGTCAAAAGTTCAAGGTGCCCAATGCAGCTCTATACGAAATTGAGCCGGTGACCACTGCCACAACCAGGAAGGTTTGTGTGTGTGGTTCGTACACTTCCTTTTGGTCGGTTTGGAATCAGGGTTTTGACCAGTGGTCCACTAACCCAGTTATAGCCCCGGATATCGGCTTTCCGTCCTCTCAATTTGGTACGAAAATACCTCCGCCACGAGAAGGCAGTGAGTAGGGTTTCCTCAGCAGAGGCTATTCGAGACGCTTGTTCGTTTGGAAAATTTCGCGAGGTGCAAGGGAAGGGTGACCAGCCGCAACCTTAGACACCCACCCCCGAGCATACTGAGGCTTTCGGAGGCATACGAATAATCGCTTGCTTTTTGTTTTCCGTGTTATTGGCCGTTCGAACAGGTTTGATGATCGTTGTCGAAGTTGTAAGAATTCGCACATACACACACACACACGTTTCCAATTATCTGTCAGCTTGATGAGTACAATTGCCGTAGTCTTGATCGTTTATTACCTGCCGACTTGGTCGTACTGACCACAATGGCACCTATTTTGTGACCAGATCTCTGTTAGTCTTGACCCACATCAGTTTGATTTCGTGATAGCTTCACGTGAAGTGTTTACTAACCACCGTGATCGTCTAACCGTGCCCGGGCCAAATGTACATGTACACACGAAATTCCAGTGCATCATCCAGCTACATGCCAACGTCCGTGAACTGGTTTGCAAAATCGTCAATTTGATGATGGTATTGTTCACTTCAGGTGAATGTACATAGAGACTACGGGGATAAGAATGAGAGATAGCATCGTACCAGTAATTCAGTCACACGGGTTATCCGTGGCAATGGACGTTCTCGTTGAACGAAGTACTGATTAGGGAGATCAGAAATTCTGAAAGTAAAAATCGACATATTTTATGCCAAATTGACCTTGAAACAACTGTTTAAATAGTCTGTACACGTTGCAACCCTCACAGCTTTTATGATTGACCTTACCCCTGTTTTGCAGGAAGCGTCCTGATTGGTTGTAATACAAACTAAGCACTGAGATCAGACTAACTCCATGCAAAATATTTGCACCACTTGGATAGACCAATCTTGTCAATTGTTCTGCAGATCTCTTGCTTTCGTCTTCTCTTTTGCGCTTCTACTTCTTCCTATCAGGCTTTGATTTTGAATCCCATTAGGTGAATCTTAAATTGGTCTTAAATAGTGAATGAATGCACACACGACTATCGAGATTTTTACTTAAATTTTAGTCATATTCACCACAAATTCCATTGAGAGAATTCATTTATTTCTTAATGAATAAAATTATGGTTCGTCGATTCTTTGATTTCAACTTTAAACTAGGCACGATTTATAGTACGTCACACAAAATGCGTTTGTTACTTTTTCTTTGATATTTAACTTTCTAATGAAGTACTTCAAACACGATACTCCACCTACCTTTTTGAAGGATAGACCTAATTAGATTGGCTAATGGTACGTTTCTAAAGTCCAATGAACGGCAGCACCTGTACACTCGCTTCTTCTTTCACTTAAATTTCGATTCGTTTTTCTGAACTCTTTATCCACACACTGCACCTGCAACCCAGGCTTTTGCGCACGCGATATCCGCACACTATTATTCGATCGATTTACGAACCCATCAACCGATTGCAAATGCAACAACCGTAATCGCTTCGTTCCACTCCACTGGTGAGCTGACCCCCACACCCACTCTTCAGGTACTGTCGATCAACACATTTATGGGACAGCATGGTTGGAGCACAATGGAACGTTTTGCTTACCTCACGCCATCTATCGTTTGTGATGTTGACTTCGTGTGGTTCAAGCGGCTTGGGCTGACTGATTGAATTATTAAATAGGCCTTT